GAATTACTGTCTAATATATATAGGGTTTTTGTTGGGGATAATGATAAAATTCTGTGAATAGATAATGGTAATGGTTAACGGCATTGTGAATGTATTTAAGCCCCTGAATTGTACACTTACAATAGTTAAAATGATAAATATCATGGCTAAAATAGTAAGTATTATAAGCATTTTACCATATTAAAAAAGTTTTTAATTTAAAAGAAGTCAAAATCTAGAAAATAATATCAGAAGATGAGAAAAGTGCTCATAGGTTATTTAGAGTGTGCTTTGCTTCTTGTCTTGCTTTGGAGAGTAATAAAAATAATGAGTGACTTGACATTTTTAAAAATGTGTAACTACTAATTTGAAAAGATATATGCATCCACATTTATTGTAGCATTATTTACAATAGCCAAGATATAGAAGCAACCTAAGTGTCTATCAATAGATGAATGGGTAAAGAAGGTTTGGTGTACATATACCATGGACTATTACTCAGCCATAAAAAGAAGGAAATCTTGTCATTTCGGACAACAGGGATGAACCTACAGGGTATTATGCTAAGTAAAATAACTCAGAGAAAAACAAATACCATATAATTTCAATTATATGTGGATTCTAAAAAACAAATGAACAAACAAACATACACTGTAGAAAGATGGAGTCATTCATGTCAATCAGGGGCCTATGTCAAGCCATGATGCAAGCAGTTAAGGGTTCTGAAGCTATCAGATATCACTGAGACCAGCACCAGCTGACAACACCCCAGAACTGGTAACTAGGAGAAGCACAAGAGGTCTGCAAGGTCTCAAGACTGATTAAATCCCTTTAAAAAGGAAGGAGTTTTGCAGCAAACTGTAGACTCTCCAGACACTGACCCCTCAATGTCTGAGCACTTAAAAAAGGCAGCCACTGCCGAAGGCTCTACCTGATTGATCTCCGAACAGAACTGAGATCCTCCACTGCTTGAACAGAATAAGCAGTAAGCACCAAGAGCTGACCCAGACTGGCCTGCGGCCTTATCTCAACTGTGCACCCACAGACTGTCTTTGCATTTGGTTTGTTCACTTCCTACCCTACCCCCCCCACCGTGTTATCTTGTTCATCGTGTGACCTAGGTCTTGTGTTTTGCTTTGTGTGCCATGTAAGAAGCCAAGTTAATCACATGGTGAAATGTCATTGAGTTTGGAATCCTGAACCTGCTTTATAATTACATTAACTTTGTTTTATGACTGAATAAAGCTGACAATGTGGAAAGACATAACTCATGTGTGTACCTTCATAGTGTGCTCATGACATACACAAACAGAAACAGTCTCATAAATACAGAGAACAAACTGATGGTTGCCAGAGAGGAGGGGGTGGGGGATGGGCAAAATAGGTGAAGGGGATTAAGAGGTACTATCTTCCAGTTATAAAATAAATAAGTCACAGGGATGAAAAGCACAGTGTAGGTAATATAGTCAATAATACTGTAATAACTCTGTATGGTGACAGATGGTGCCTACACTTACCGTGGTAAGCACTGCATTATGTATAGAATTATCAAAATCACTGTGCTGTACATCTGAAACTAATATAACATTGTATGTCAACTATACTTCAATTAAAAAAAGGAAAACTGTAGCTAAATATGTATGTTGAATTTTTAAGAGGAATTCTAAGAAGTTACAGATTCTGTCATAGCTTCCAATCTAACAAAGGGGGGGAGAAAATGATTATAAAAGAAAAAAATTAGGGGCTCCTGGGTGGCTCAGTCGTTAGGCGTCTGCCTTTGGCTCAGGTCATAGTCCCAGGGTCCTGGGATCGAGCCCCGCATCGGGCTCCCTGCTCTGCGGGAAGCCTGCTTCTCCCTCTCCCACTCCCCCCGCTTCTGTTCCCTCTCTCGTTGGGTCTCTCTGTCAAATAAATAAATAAAATCTTTAAAAAAAGAAAAGAAAAAAATTGGGGCATCTGGGTAGCTCAGTCGGTTGAGGTCTAACTCTTGATTTCAGCTCAGGACATGATCTCAGGGTCTTGAGATCGAGCCCTGCCTCAGTCTCTGCTCTTAGTGTGGAGTCTGCTTGAGATTTTCTTTGCCTCTGCCCCCCCCCCCCACTGCTCTCTCTCTCTCTCTCTCAAAATGAATAAAATCTTAAAAAAAAGGAAAGAAAAGAAAAAACTTTCCTAACAATAGAAAGCAGGAAAAGAAAAACAAGCCAAAGAAAAAATATTCATGGAAAAGACATAATAAGATGGCAAAAATTAATCAAATATATTTTTTAAAAACTCATTTATTAAAATACAGAGACTGTAAGTTTGGGTAAAAAGCAAAATCCAACTATATACTACTTACAAGAGAAATATCTAAAACAAAATGACCCAGAAGTATTAAAATTAAAAGCATAGGAAAAGATATGCCAGGTAAATACTAGTCAAAACAAAGTTGGTATTGCAATATTACAATGCTAATATCAGGCCAAAGTCCTGGACTTTTAAAAAGTTTATAAATGTTGACTTCAGTATTTCCAGTGTGGCTGACTACAAATATAAATCTGATACTTTTTCCCTGGTATTACTTATCTATTCTTTCTAATCTTTCTAAATCAACTACCAAAGGCATTTATGAAGAGTAGCATGTACTATATAGTTAGATAATGTGATGGAGACCAAGATGAATACAACCTAATTACTTACTCCATAGAACTTACAGTCTTGTAGGGGATATAAGTCCAGTAACTTTTTTCAAAGGCAGCAGATTCAGAGTACCAGTAGAGAGTTAGTTAGAAAGTGAGGCATGATGAGAATTGGGCATGAATATAGAATCAGGAAAAAACTTCATGCAAAATGTGGCATTTGAGATGGTCCTGAAAAACTGGATAGAATTTTAACAGATGGAGGTAGGGAAAAGTTGAGGAGAAACAGGTTGAGGAGAAACACTAAAGCTTTGAGCAATATATTGTATTTTCTGCTTTTTTTTACAGCCATCTTATCTAAAAGAATTTTCACTGATTATATTATCTATTAACTCTTTAAGTAAAGTGATTATGATCTCTATACTGAGCAGCTAAATTTTATTGGTAGGGATGATCTTAAGACAGTAGTGGAAATATAATTATAAATCTTTTTGTATTCAATATTATATGTCCTTGGTCTATCAGTTTGTTTTTTAAAATTCTTATTTTATAACTTCTTATGTAAATTCTTATCCGTACAATGAGTCTCAGCCAGATTCTTCAGTGCATAAATTATTCCCTAGTTTTAAAAAAGATATATATTTTTTAAAGATTTATTTTTAGACAGAGAGAGCACAAGCGAGCAAGCTTGGTGGGGGGGTGATGGTAGAGGGGCAGAGGGAGAGGGAGAGAGAGCATCTCAAGCAGACTCCCCGCTGAGCATGGAGCCCAGGGCTGGGCTCAATCTCATAATCCTGAGATCATGATCTGAGCTGAAACCAAGAGTCGGACTCTCAACCCACTAAGCCACCCAAGCACCCCTAAAAAATATATTTTAAAAAGCTACACTAAGGATATAATTTCACTAGTGTGAGTTTCTTTACAGCTCAGATTATGACCTAGACACCAGGTTTTTTTCCCAGGGCGGGTATAAAGCATACTTTGGGACTAGTTCTTTGCTGGATAGCTTCATAAATTTAAACTAGATTGTTATCATTTTAGACTTCATTTGCTAGAAATGTGACCTACTCCATTTACCTGTAACAGCTCATTTGCTTTATTTTTCATTTTCCTTTGCTCAAGACAACAGCATTGTAAACTGCATGTTTAACACTTTCAATTCTTTTTTAAAAAGTTATCTTCTAACCTAATTCTTTACCAGATGTTTTCCTCATGCTTCCTCATAGTGTCTCAGAAGTAGATTTCTACACTAGTTTTCCACAGGGAGAAGAGCATGTAATTTGATTTTCATACAATGTTGTTAATATTAACAGGAAGAGGCTAATTTTATCTTAAGTGATAACATACTCTATGTTAAAGACAGGTTAGATGCTTCCCTCAGAGCTTGGTCAGGGAAAAGGAAAATGGAACAGATGACTCCTGAAATTTTTTCCTGTTTGGTTCAGAGATTCAGCTTTGCTTCCACTTTAAATTGTCAGCAAATGAAAAGTGGCATTTGGAATTTCCACTGTCTCTCTATTGCTTTGCCATCTTCAGTTTAATGCCTGCTTCTCTACAAAGATTAACATATTTTCCACTCATGATTTACTTGTCAGGGAATTTAGGAGTTTTCTGGAACCTGAAGTCTGCCTTTAGTTGTGATGATTACTGGATAATTGCCTATTCTTTGGTGGAATTTCCATTTTTAGATTACGCCAGGCTCTACAGCCTTTAATTCTTTGGCAGAAGAACCCAAAGGCAATGGAGTATATTTTTTCCCCTTATCCGGCCCAGCTTAAACAATGACTCACTTGGGCCCTGGGGCTTTGCTTCATACTCTCATTCAGGGGCCACTTTTTACCCTTGTTCCTCTTATTTGCCTTAATATTCTATTTGAAACCTTTCGTATCCTTTGGCACATGGCTTTGCCTCTGAGGTTATTATCAAAAAGGTATCCATCACCCCCAAACTGGAACAGACAATCCAGTTATGTCCCCACGAGCCGTGTTGTTCTTATGGCAGCTGATGTAGGTCAGAGAGAGTACAGAAATAATGATTCCAAATGTGGTAGAAAGAGAAGTATTCTCCAAAAAGATACAAGTACCAATGTCACCCAGTTAACTGAAAGATTTCCCTCTATTTGAGATGCTCCCGTGACTGATTAAAACTCCCTCAGTGCATATATGTGGGAGGTAGGAAACACTCAGAGGAATTGGACTCCAAGAGTTTTCAGAAGGATATGGTTATATGAAGGGATTTCTTCATTGAAAGACTTGGTCTAATCTATAGTTCAGAGTTTCGTTGGGGAGAAAAGACTTTCCTCCTTTTTGGCAATGGTTCTGGTGTGGTCTTGATTTTTTATTCTGATTCCAGCCTTCCATATCTCTTCCTCTAATGATGATTCCTTGATTTTTCTCTTTGCAGTTTTAACAGTGTATGTCAGGGAACTCACATTCTCTTTCGGGAATTCAGCTTCATCCAAGCCACCCCTCACAATAGGGCATCATTCTTACGGGCCTTCTGGAAATGCTTCCGAACTGTGGGCAAAAATGGCGGTAAGTCTTCCTAAATTCTTTTCTTGCCTTCTTTTCTTCCTTCCAAACTTCTGTCTTTCTTTTGTTCCTATAAATACTGTTTGAGTACAAGCTATTCGAGGCTCCCCGAACACCTTACTTTTGAGGAGCTATTGTCTTGTGTCACAGAAACTACCACCATTACTAGTACCAACACCATCACTAATGATATCTATTAGGAGCCAAGTGCAGTTCTGAACACTTTATGTGTGGTGATTTGTTTACTCTTCACAACAGCTCTCTATGGTAGATACTATCATCCCCATCTTATAACTAATGAAACTGGGGATCAGAGAGGTTAAGTAACTTGACAAGGGTATACAAGAAATGCTGGGGTGGGATTCATACCCAGGCAATCTGACTCCAGAGCTTTTGCTCTTGGCAAATATTAAAATACATGCAGCAAATTGAAGAAATGATATGAATACAAAGAAGGAAATTCCTGAGTGGAGAGTGGGGATAGGATGGGGACACTATTGTTAGAGAAAGGGGAACAAATAGATTAGAGAAGGTTCTCCTGAGAACTGGTTGTTTGGTCTAATTTGGGAAGGAAGAGTAGGAGTTATCTACATGGATAAAGGAAAGAAGGACATTCTAGGTAGCGCATGTGCTGTGCTGTAGAAGCATAAAAGAACCTGGAATATTTAAGACATTGAGAAGATCAGAATGGCTAGAGTTTGTGAAGGGGGTTAGCGGAGATGAGCCTGTGAAGAATAGAAGAGTCAGGTCTGAAAGACCATTTTTGCCATAAAAAAAGAAGTGGATTTTATTCTGTAGATTAAAGGATTTTATTCAGAAGAATGGTGTGATGATATCTGAGTTCTAGAAAGATCATTTGAAAGGCAGTATAGAAATGGCTTAGAGGGTGGGGCGCCTGGGTGGCGCAGTCGGTTAAGCGTCTGCCTTCAGCTCTCTCAGGATCTTGCCATTGAGCCCCATGTGTTGGGCTCCCTGCTCAGCGGGAAGTCTGCTTCTCCCTCTCCCTTTGCAGCTCCCCCTGCTTGTGTTCTCTCACTCTCTGTCAAATAAATAAATAAAATCTTTAAAAGAAAAAAAGAAAAGAAATTACTTAGGGGGTGAGTCTGGAGGCAGAGAACATAGTTAGGAGATTTGCAGTAGTGAGAGATAATAAGAACCAAACCCAAATTTACTAAGATGCTAATATGCTATTTCTATTCTTCTTATTACTCTAATCATGGCTTCTGTGACATGTAACTCAAGACACTATCCATCTCAATTACACTATTGAGCAGAAATACTTAGCGTACTGAGAATAGCATCATCTCCTTTATTGACTATATGCACTAGTGGACAAAAATCAAAGTGGACTCAATTTTAAGTGAACTACCTCAGAGAAACTAACCCATTGGTCTCTACATAAACAAAACTGGGAGCTGTGAGTGTACAGGTAAAGTCTGTAGTATTTCATCAGAACCTGTTTTTCCCAATCCTTTCCCAGTCCCTTAGTCAGTCAGCAAATATTTATTGAATACTCACTATATTGAAGAATGGTGCATACAGCTAGAGCTGGATTTTGTGGAATAGGCACATGGAGATAACTATGGAAAACAGTCTTTAGATCTCCTTAATTCTTTTCCTGATTTAGAAGTGGGGCCTCTTCCAGAATTTATTTACTATCACAAGGGATCCATATAGCATTTGGACTCTGAGCAGATGTAGGTTTCTTTACCTTTCTACAGCAGCTGCCAGTGATTCATCCAGCTGCTAAGAGGAAGCAGCTCCAAGTTCTCCCTGTTTTTCCTGTACCATAAACAAGACCTAGATTTTATGCTGGATATTTATTGTTAGGCTTCTTACTCAGACAGCCTCTGATTTCTTAAAGACCAAATGCAACATTTGCGTCTAGGTGATCCTAAAATCTTTGGTTAGATGATTTTAATATATTCTCAGTTTCTTCCAGGAAACTTTAGAACAGCTTTCAGTCCTGAAGTGTGTCAGTTCCCAGTTTTAATCCAGAACAAGCAAAAACACTCAGAGGCAAAGTTCCAAAAGAAAGCACTTATTAAGCCCCATTTTTTCAATTAGAATGCCACGTACCTGACTCCTACTCGGAGGAGCTGATATTATATTGTTCTTCTGCAGATGACTTCCTTAGAACATCTTGTACATATTTTAGCATTATCAAGAAGAAACTAGGTCTTCTGGGAAACAGCAAAAGAAGAGCAGTGTTCCAGCATAACATATCTAAAAATGAAGCCACCTGTAGAAAACTAAGGACCTGATGCCTTCTGGCAAGAAACTGTTTATCCCAGTTTTTAGCAAGTATAGGGATGCAGTGTCATTTCTGCATGACTGAGTACCGAATGATGCTAATTTTCCTGTGTCTGAAATTCAAATAACCTCATGAAGGTTATAGTGAACCTCTTGCTATCTAGGCAACTTTAGAGTCTTGGAAGCAAAAAGACCTATTCATATGTAATAAGCCTTTAAAATTCAACTTCTCACTTTGGTAGTTCTTTCAGTGTGAAAGATCAATCTGAATTTTCCAAGTCTGGCAAAGATTAAAATTCCCTGAAGTAAATCTTCACTTCTGTTTAGAGATATTGGCTCAAAAGAGCTATTGTCAGGGCGCCTGGGTAGCTCAGATGGCTGGGCGTCTGCCTTCAGCTCAGGTCATGATCTCCAGGTCCTGGGATTGAGCCCCAAGTCTGGCTCCTGGCTCAGCGGGGAGTCTGCTTCTCCCTTTCTCTCTGCCTCTCCCCTTGCTTGTGCTCTCCTCTGTCTCTCTCTCAAATGAATAAATAAAATCTTAAAAAAAAGCTATTGTCCACTTTATTCCAGTTTGTTAGAATTTAATTTTGAGCTTTGTGCTTTTACAAATGAACAAATATATTTATATATATATGTATTTCATTTAATAAAAGAACGAGAGCTACTTCCTCTTCTGCCCATGAAGAAGTACTAACTTAGGGAATTGTCCTCCTGCCATAAACAACTAGAAAATCAAACAATGTATCTGAAACAACTCTTTCAGATACTGAACAACAGTTAATGTGGGACTGTGGTCTCTGAGAGGCAGTTGCCAAGCAACAGTACAGGAGAGGAGATCCAAAGAGCACAGCAGTCTTACTGAGTTGAGGAGGCGGAGACTGGGGTTTGGAGAGGCCACGGTGGCCAGAATTTGCAGGGCAGAGTACCAAAGAGGAGGGAGTTGCTTAGTAAGCTCCAGAGAGCTGCAAGTGGGTATTTGAGTCTCTGGCTACAAACTCTGCACATGTGTGGGTTGGAAAAAGAACCACCAGAAAACAGTAGTAGGCCAAACAGTTCCTGGAGTATACACAGGGCTAGGAATAGTTCATGCCGCTACCAGCCAAAGTGGAGAAACCTCAAAGTACATAGGGCACTGACACTGGATAGAGCCCTCAGCAGCTTAAAAACAAAAAGGATTAAATGCGTTTATCTGCAAGTAACTTAACTGTATACCAGAACAAAATTCAGTACTCCTTAAAGGAACTCAGTAAAATCGAGCACTCAATAACATAAAATGCACAATGTCTGACATCCAATTAAAAATTACCAGACATTAGAGGAAGCAAGAACATATGACCCATAACCAGGAGAAAAATCAATCAGTAGAAACACAGACCCAAAAAAGACAGAAATAATAGAATTAGCTAATAAGGACCTTCAAACAGTTATTTTAAATCATAAATATGCTCAAATATGTAAAGGAAAACATGGCTATAATTAGATAAATGGAAGATATTAAAAAGATGCAAATGGAATTTCTAGATGTAAAAAATATAATATCAGAAGTGAAAATAATGATAGCAATTAACATTTATGAAGTTGTTTCATATGTGGAATATCTAATTTTTCTTTACAACGATCCTGTGTGTTAGGTGGATACTTTTATTATCACTTTTTCACAGAAAATGAAACTGAGATTCAGAAAGTTAAAGTATGATGACATGAAACATGGTTCCTGTGGAAACTACAAGAAGTTCGTTGTGGCTGGTGCTTAGTACATAAGAAGGAAACATCATCCCAGTCAGTTGAATCTTACCAATTTGTGTGGTATTTTCACATATGAGACTGGCAAAAGCATGGAAAATGGAATGGAAGGCAGGAGTAGGACCAGTTAGGAGCCAATACAACAGAACAGGAAGTGGCAGGGAGAGGAAGAGCTATTTCAGGTTGATTTGACAGGACTTGCTGATTGATTGGGTAGGAGTGTGGGAGAGAAGAGTAAAGAATAAATGCCAGAATCTAAAGTATTGCCAATTTCATCCCTCCCTTCCTTTTTCCTTTCCTTTTTTTTCCCTCCAATTCTTTAACCTTTTATGTTTTACGCTGAATTCACTGTGATTTGTCTTCATAGTCTAGGTATATTCATTCATTCAACAAACATTTATGTATTAGTTGCTAGTGATAAAGCAGGGAGTGAGAGCAGAAATTCCTGCTCTCATGGAGTTTGTGGTCTGATAATCAGAGATTTGAAAAAAAAAAATCCCTGCATTTATGAAAGAAGATCACAGTTTAGGGATCAGAGACTTGCAGTCGGTCTATACAATCATATGATAAAAACTGTTTTTCCTAAAATATCTAATGTTACGGTGGTTAAAGTGATCTCAAGGGAAAATGCAGACAATTTAGGCTGAAATAAAGCTTTTGGTCTGACTTCTCTCTGTGAACTGCCTCAAACTTCCACCTGATTTTGCTTGTCACTAATCCTCAGCCTCACCACTAAAAACCATTCTGTGAGGATTAACAGTGCTTACTTAAGGAATGGGTGGCTGTCTTGTTTGAAATATTAAAGAGCATTTGTTACTTTTGTCATTTTTTAAACAAACAAACAAAAATCCTTCCATGTAATCTCTTCAGTCCTGTGGTTTCCTCTGGCCTGTCCTCTGCACCTGCTCCCACCAGAGCTCCACAGCTCCACATTTGTCCCAGAAACTGATGTGGCCAATAAACAACTTCTTCAACCTTCAGTTCCTGGTTCCTGTCTGCGGTTTTAC